GCCTTGGCGGCACAGTCTCCTTTGGCCTGTTCCCCCCTGACTGCCTCACGGACCTATTCACAGGTGGCTCCACTGGCTAAGGCCTGGACTTCCACCCTGTTCCCTTTATTACAGCCCTGGAGTTGGGGGGGGGGGGGGGGGGAGGAGCAGGTGTCAGGCCCAGGGTTGGGAGAGAGAAGCTCCAAGTGCAGTGGGTGAGGGCACAGTGTGTGCCTGGAATAACATCCCCCCGCCCCCCGAATCCCTGCGATGTCCTGGACCCGCAGCACACGTCACCCAGAAAATCCCAGGTCCACACGTCTCCGTCTCCTTAGGCCTGCTGCCTGCCCTTTGTGGAGGGGGGTGGGGGCGGGGTTTAAGCTGCGATTCACTTTGTATCAGAAAACACTTTGTAGACAATTTTAAAGTCCATTTTATTTTTATTTTTTTATTTTTTTAAATATATTTTATTGATTTTTTACAGAGAGGAAGGGAGAGAGATAGTTAGAAACATCGATGGGAGAGAAACATCGATCAGCTGCCTCCTGCACATCTCCCACTGGGGATGTGCCCGCAACCCAGGTACATGCCCTTGACCGGAATCGAACCTGGGACCTTTCAGTCCGCAGGCCGACGCTCTACCCACTGAGCCAAACCGGTTTCAGCTTAAAGTCCATTTTAAATTTTGGGTTGCATTTCTACTGAGTGGGGGTTTTTTTGTTTTAATTAAACCAACATTTACTCAGAGAGCCTCATTCACCAATGCAAATAATGAGACCATCCAGTCCCACCCCCATTTTATGCATTTTTAATTAAGGCTAAAGACAGACTTTACAATATTGAGCAACAAATATTTGAAGAGACACACTTTTTAGGCACTATTGTCCTTAAGTGCACTAATAGAAGACACACATTATAGTGGGTTTCTCCCTCCCGGAGACCAATGGAAAGAGTATTTTAATCAAACTGTTTTGTGTACTTCCCTGTCTTTCATTATTAATCACTCATCTGCTTTAAGAAGCATCGTTACCTAGCAGAGGACTTTACACTAGCTGGGGAGACACCAGTCATATGAGAACACATCGGCCTATGTGCATTCATTCGTGCATTAATTTCGTAATTGTCTGAACTCCACTTACATGTTGTAGAGATGCATAAAGGTTTTAGAGTAGAAATTTTTAGTTTAGCTGGATCAAATTTTGTTTCTTCCCTGTGTGGCAGAGGGCTCCAGTAATGTCAATCTCCCACCTTGATGAGTTTACTAAATAGTTAAGAAAACAAGACAAACATGTAAAGCGACATATTAACACAAAGAGGCAAAGATTCTGTCTCAAGGGAGAGACACAGACAAGGAAGGGAAGACACAGCTCAGGAATGTGGCAGCCCCAGGGCACAGGCCAGGCACAGGGCCCACCTAAGAGGCCTGGGAACCCCATTAGCACCAGCAGCTCAGGTAACAGATGGAGTCTCCCCAACAACTTAGGACTGAAGGAAGGTGAGCAAGCATCAAGCTGGTAACACACATCTCCTGACCGCAAACCCGCCCTGTGTCCACAAGGCTGGCCGTGGACAGGGCACTGATGCCCAGGCACTGTCACAAAGGACTGAGTGAGCCTGCTGTGTCAAGCAGGTGCCCACAACAGGTGTGTGGCAGGTAACTTCAGGGAGATAAGGTGGAGGTTGTAGGACAGTCATGTAATCAGTAGGAAAATCAGGTATGTGTGGCATGGGCAGCTGTATCTGCCCAGCAGACATAAGGACAGTGTGAGAAGACAGGACAGGCCCTAGCTGGTTTGGCTCAGTGGATAGAGCGTTGGCCTGCAGACTGAAGGGTCCCAGGTTCTATTCCCATCAGGGGCACATGCCCAGGTTGCAGGCTCAATCCCCAGAAGGGGGCGTGCAGAAGGCAGCCTATCAATGATTCTCTCTCATCGATATTTCTCTCTCTCTCTCTCTCTCCCTCTCCCTTTCTCTCTGAAATCAATAAAAATATATTTAAAAAAATAAAAAGAAGAAGAAGACAGGACAGGGGCGCAGCTGGGCACAGACTGGTAGCACTTCCCCCCAAAGTCCCAGATGTTTCAGAGCCATAGTCCCCAGCCCAGGAGGCCCGCAGAGGCCTGGTGTCCTTGGGAGCCTCCCAGGCCCTCTCTGCTCCCCAGGATAACCCTCCTTACAGAACAGGAAAGGATCCACCTGGACACCCCCCACACCCCAGGCTTAGGAAGGAGAGCCCAACAGTGCCCTCAGGGACAGAGAAGGAAGACAGAGGGGAGAAGGTACCTTGTGCTCCAGCTGTGGGTGTTTCCCTTGGGTTCTCCAAGATCACAGACACATCCTGGCTCTCTGTCTCCAGGAACCAGGGACCTGGTGGGTACCTGCTGCCCCGACTGCTCCTGCTACCCCAGGACACAGTGCCACACACACTTCCTCCCAGGACGGCTCAGGAAGACCTTCCCACCTCCACCCCAGGCCATACGGCCCCTCCCATCTCTGAGCCCCTCACCCAGGCCTGCTCTGAGCGGTCACCCAGTCGCCAGAGCACACACCTTCTCCCAGCCAGGCACCCACCACACACTCAGAGCCCACACAGACCCAATGCCCACACACCATGCAGGTCCTTCAGAGCTGCAGGGCGGGAAGCCACCTGTGACTTGGGCCCTTCCCCCACTCCCAGACGTAAGCTGGGTCCCAGCCCTCCCGGTGGCCCCGACAGGCTGAGCCTACTCCTATCCTGCAGCCCTCGCCCCTCTCAGGGAGCATCTGCTAAATAGAAGTGCACATGCCAGGCCCCTCCCAGGCCCCATAAATCACAGCCCCAACTGCCCAGCCCCTTCTGGCTCCCTCCCAAGCAAGACCCTCAAAGTTTACCTGCAGATCAACAAGCTCTCATCTGTGTCTCCTGACCAAAGAGGGGCAGGAAGCATTGACCATCCCCTCATGCCCTAGGACCATGAGGGCACCCCAGGCCTAAGACCCACCCAGAACCTTCCAAAAGCCCACCATCCCAACGTCACACACACACACACCACACAATGGATCTAGCATTCAAAGGTCTTGCCTCCATGCATGAATACTGAACTGAGGACCTAGCACAAAGGCACACCCGTATGGGTATTGCCTGGGCCACACATGGCACACTTGGTGCAGTGAGTGTAGTACTTAAGTAAACCCTGATTTTGGGGCTTTTATATCTCATCCTTGGCTCCTTTACTGGGCAACTCAGGCTGCACTTGGACTTGCTGACCAATGGTGGGTGTCCTAAGTCTGGACCCTAAAAGCCAGAGCAGAGTCTGCTTGGGCTATGGTACCAACCATGTACCAGGCATTGGGGAGACCCAGACAGACCCGGGCCTGGAGGGCACACCATCTTGTGAGGAGATAGAGGTCTAGAAAGAACTTTCGTTCTCTTGATACATGAAAGCACAGCAGTGATCACAGGCAGGCACAAGTGTCACCAGGTACTGATGTCAGGGAGATATCCCAGGAGCAGGTGCATTGGCATCAGGGTTGGATGGTCATGGGCAATCTGGCTTGGAGTCTCATTCTCACACTGCTTCCTCAGTCTCAACTCCTGAAAATGGACTAGAAGAGCTTAGCCAGTGTAGCTCAGTGGTTGAGCATCAACCTATGAACCAGGAGGTCATGGTTTGATTCCTGGTCAGGGCACATCCCAGGTTGCAAGTTTAATCCCCAGTAGGGGGAATACAGGAGACAACCGATTGATAATGCTCTCATCACTGATGTTTCTCTGTCCCTCTCCCATCCTCTCTGATATAAAAATATAGTTTTTTAAAATGGACTAGAATATGCTACTTTTGGAAAATGAGCTTGGAGAGCAGGAGTCCAAAATTCTGCGTGTTTGGTGTAGTAACTGGGAGTCTGGCTTATTTGTGTAACTGGGGCTGAAGGACTGGATGAGGAATTAAAGTATTGGGCAGGGGGTGGACTAGGCAGAGGGAGCTGCGTGTGCAAAGGCTCTGTGGTCAGAGGGATAGTGGCAGTCAGCAGTCCTGACAGAGCAATACAGGCCCTGGAGTGCAGACAGCGCAAAGGTGGCCAGAGATGTGCCCGCTCCCCAGGGCCATGCATTCCCTTGCCTCTGACTTTTAGCAAAGTATGGCACTTGAACCCAGTCCAGCTGGGTGTGGAAGCTGGGTAACCCGCACGGAGCAGGCGTGGAACTGGACGATCCAAGGCCCCCTCCACAGCAGACACAGAGGAAGAGAAAAGAGAAGGGCTGTTACCAACAAGGAGAAACCTAGGGCAAAGCAGCTTTGACATCAGAAGCAAGAGGGCAATCAGAAGAAAGCTTTGCAATTACTGGCTAGAAAGCAAAGCAGCCCGGCTTATAAAGAAGAGAAAGCCAGAAGTGGGCTCCTGCTCCTGGAATTTACTCTCACCTGCCCTGTTGGGATCACCTCCTTCAAGAAACCGCGCTGATCCCATTGAAGTCCCCTTCTCCAGACACTTTCCCCATCTCAGAACCACCTCCGCGTTGAAACACTCCCTTCCTCAACAAACTCCTCGGGTACTTGCTTCCTCAGCCCACTAGGGGGCCTCCCAGCCCCAGGCCTCAGCCCAGAGGGACACCCCTGGCTGCCACTTCCCCTCCCATTCTCCCCAAGGACACTCCCACAACATCCGGTTCCTACTGCCTGGCTCCCCCAGATGAGTGGTCCTACCAGCAGAGACCCACTCTAACACTGAAGGAAAGGGAGGGCAAGCGCAGGAGCCAAGAGAAGGTGCAGGTTCCCACAGAAACAAAGGGACTGAAGTCACAATATTCCGTGAAAAGCACTGTGATTTATCAAGACAGGTCACCTGCCCCTGGGGCCAGCCACAGGGCAACTCCAGCACAAGCCATCAGTGGGCTTCCAGGCTTCCCAATGCTGACGTGTCTTTCAAAGAAAAAAATGTGATCTACATTTCTTCAAACCACATTAAGGTTACCACTCCTAAGACATTGACAGACATCCCCCCCCCCAACTATTCTAATGTCTAAAAGGCAGACACATATATTGAGATTTTAGAGCCATTTATACAAAAATAGTTAAACTACAATGCTTTTACCCTGAAAATATGACATACAAGTGGACATTTGCTTCTTGTAACTTTCCTAAAAATAACAACGTGGGCCAAGTTTTAGAAGAAAACTATATTCTTTTAAAGAAAATGAAAACATTCTCAATGGAAAAACTTAATTTAAGTCAAATCATATGCGTTGGTCCTGGAGCCCCATCCAGTGCTTTCCTGCAGCGGCGCTCTCCCGCGGGCAGGGCTGGGATTCGCGTGGTTCTTTTCCGAAGCTGAAAGATAGGGGTGGGGGAGTCCCAAGCCAGGAGCTAGGGATGGGAGCCCCGGGTGGGATTGTGGCTGAAAACACCCACTGGAATCCAAGTGGCCAAATCCCAGTGACCACAGTGGCCAAAGGCAGGGCTCCTTTGCAGGCCCCACACCATCCTGTGACCCCACCCAAACAAGGCACATACTGGTGTGCAAGCCGCTTATGAGACACACAAATATGTGCGCCCTTAGGCCAAACACCGCCTGCTCCCAGCGCTCTGCAAAGGGGTCCCTGGCCCATTCTGAACAGGAAACTGGCTCCATCCAGGCGGTCTGGGAGCCTGCCCCTCCTTGATGGGGTGGGGTGGGGATGGGGTGGGGGGAGGTGGGCAGAGCCTGCCTGAGGGAAGCAGCTGGAGAAGGCACAGACGGTGAATAAATAGAAGTAGCTTCGCCGTGGGGCCGGCCCCTCGGACAGCAGCTTGGTGGCAATTGGCAGGGTGGGCATTGGAGGAGGAGTGGCTGTGCCACCCTGACGCAGAGCTCAGCCCAACCTGGGTCACCCATCCCGCCTGCCCTCATACATACACACACACACACACACACACACACACACACACACACACACACACACACGGCCCCAGGGTCGGGCTCCTGCTCCAGCTCAGAGCTCCGTGACATGCACAGCAGGTGAGGGAAGTGGCCCAGGCCGGAGTCGCCTGAGGTGGCAGCGGCGGCACAGCAGGTGGCCCTCCAGCGGGTAGCAGCGGCGTCCATCCTCCCCGCTCAGCTGAAGCCCGCAGTCCTAGGGAAGAACACAGCCCCACCCCAGGGTGAGTAGACAGGGGGGCCATACTGGCACCTCAGGGTAATGGGGTGTGGGGCAGAGTGACAGGGCTCTGTCAAACTTCCAGCGGACTCTGGCTTTTATTCTTAAGATGGGGGATCAGGAGCCCAGTGTGGGACACACAGAACTGGGAGCCTCTTGAAGGAAGACACAGCCTGGAGTCTCAAGAGAGGGCTGGACAGTAAATGGGGGCTCGGGCATAAAAATGAGATTGATCTTAACAAAACAGATTACATCTCCCTAGGACAGTGATGGCGAACCTTTTGAGCTCAGCGTGTCAGCATTTTGAAAAACCCTAACTCTGGTGCCGTGTCACATATAGAAATTTTTTGATATTTGCAACCATAGTAAAACAAAGACTTATATTTTTGATATTTATTTTATATATTTAAATGCCATTTAACAACGAAAAATCAACCAAAAAAATGAGTTCGCGTTTCACCTCTGACACTCGTGCCATAGGTTCGCCATCACTGCCCTAGGAGCACAGAAAACTAGAAAAGAGAAGAGGGCAAACGGCTTGAGCCATGAAGGCTCCAATATGAAGAGCGAGCCCTGGCCGGTGTGGCTCAGTTGGTTGAGCATCTCCCATGCACCGAAAGGCCGCCAGTTCAGTTCCAGTCAGCGTGCGTGCCCAGGCTGCAGGCTCAATCCCTAGTCAGGGGTGCATGCAGGAGGCGGCCGACTGATGTCTCTCTCACATAGATGTTTCTCTTTCTCCCTTCCTCTCTCTGTAAAATCTATTTATTGTTTTATTTTTAAAATATATTTTTATTGATTTCAGAGAGGGAGAGACAGAAACATCAATGATAAGAGAGAATCACTGATCGGCTGCCTCCTGCATGGCCCGCACTGAGGACCAAGCCTGTGACCCGGGCATGTGCCCTGACCACGAATGAAACCGTGACCTCCTGGTTCATAGGTTGACACTCTATCACTGAGCCATGCCAGCCGGGCTCTCTAAAATCAATTTAGAAAGAAAGAAAAAGAGATTTGAGGAGAAAACAAAAGGGAAGAAAACCAAAAATGGATGGTCCTCGGGGCACTGTGACAAGTCAAGAAGGGACTAGTCAGCATGTAGAGAGCTGCTGAGAGGTTAGGGCAGCGACAACTGAGAAGTGTCTCCTGGATCCTAACCCGGGGGGGGGGGGGTGGGGGGGGGGGACTGGTGACCTTGGGAAGGAGAGGTTATCAAATGCCTGGGGCGGTGGCCTTAAGAGATAACGGAAGAGAAAAACTGGTGATATCAAGTAAACAAGTTCAGCTTTAAGTCCTTCATCTTACCATTTTATCTCTGTGCTGTACTTTACAGGCTAATTTTGTTTAACAAGTTATGTGATTGGTATGTGACCTCTGTAAAAAATTGGCAGGAAGTGTGAGGGGCAGCCAGGGAGGCTGTTGGAGACAGTGGGACCCTGGGCAAGACCAAGTGGACTTTTTCCTTCCTTTTGCCTCCTACCTCAAGGAGGTTACGCTCTCACTGCATCCAGAGCTGAACTCCTGCCTCGAACATTCGACACTTGTTACCCAAAGGCCCTGAGACCAACACCTGCCCTGCCCCACAGCAGTAATGGAGTCGGAGGACTGCGATGGAGCCTCACGTTCCAAGCCACGCATGTTTCAAGTGTCCTCCCTCCCCCCACCCGTCCTGACATAGCCCCTGTCTGGGTCCTGCTACTGATTAACACACACCAGAGAGGGGAGGAGAAAGGGGGCCTAGAGACCCTAGTTCCCATCTACAGGTCTCACAATCCCGAGGATCTGAGTGTGGACCACCCACAGCTTGGCTTGCTCCTTGCCCTAGGGATTGTGCTTAGGGATCCCAAGGGACACCACCGTGTCCAGGACCGCAGAGCAGGATGCCGTTACTGTTGAGGGGGATCCATGGCCCTCTTCTGACCATGACCCTCCTTCCCTGTCCCCACTCAGGATTCCTGTTCCCACTGGACCACTTGCCCCCACCAGGACAACCTGGTTCCAAATGGACCTTTGATGACTGAAGATGTCTCCCTCACACTCCCTCCTGCTCTTCCCGGGCTCTGAAACCCAACTCCTCCTCCAGGTTTTCTCCTACCTCCTCATTCACTCACTCTTGGCCTCCCCATGTCGCTGCTTTGCCGCCATGCATCTCCCAAACATGGCTGCTCTTTGGGCCATCACGAGCCCCGCTCCTTCCTGGAGCCCTCCGTTCCTCCCCTGGCTTCAGCAGCCATCTGTAGGCCCAGGATGGGGCTGTTGCTTCAGGCCATGATAGGGGCAAGGACTGGACTCCCCATCCTACTTTTAATAATGAAAAGCCAGGCAAAATACATGCAAAATGGATTCTCAGACCCTAGGCCACAGGCAAGGCAGGTCGGTGATCTCCGAGAGAAGGGAGCTACTCTCCAGGCTGCCCAGAGACCCTCTAGTCCCCTTGGCTGAGGACTCCGAAGCCGAGGGTCTGGAACCACAGGGCAGAGCACCAGAGAGGAAAGGGCTGTATACGCCATGACTCCAGATTCCTGTGCCTGTAGTCAGAGGCTTTGAACTGCAGCACATCTACCTGCTGCCTGCACATCTCTATCCAGGTGTCTCCAGCTGCCAAAAATAAGAGCATCTTATCCCCTCCTCCTCTCACCTTCCTGGGGTCCTAATGGACACCTCCAAACCCCAAACTCCCACATCCAATCACTGACCAATTCCAGTCCTTTCTACTGCCTAACCATCACTCAGCTCAATTCACTTCCCTGAACCCAGGACCACACCCCTGACTCCACCCACCTCTTCAGAGAAGCCCAGCCCCCCTGTCCCTCTTCCTTTAGAAAGGGTGCTGAGTGCCCTTTCTAAAACCCAAAAGCCATCCTGTCACTTTTTTTTTTTAATTTCTTTATTGATTAAGTTATTACATATGTGCTGTCACCCTTTTTGATCATTCTCCATTGCCCAGATAAGTCCACACTTCTTAGCTCATGTGGCCTTTTGTCCCCAGCACCTGCCAACTTCTCTAGTGACACAAACAACACACCCATCTTCACACCTAAGCACATTCTGCTTCGACTGCCTGAAAATGCCTTCTCACTGCCTCCTTGGCTCTTATTCACCTTTCAAACCCTCCAGAAATCTTTCCCTCCAAGACCTCCTATGCACTACAAAAACTCCCTTGTTAGCAATGATGACCTGTAGATACTGCCTGAATACCTGTCTCTCCCATGGGGGTAGGGACTATATTCTATGTGATCCACAACACCCTACACACTTTAAATTGTTAGTAAATATTTGATTAAATAGGAAACAGGCTGAGAGAGAACATGTCTTGTGGACAGGGCTCACTGGGGGTGGGGGGGCTGGGAAGACAGGTAGAATGGGTAAGAAACATAAAAGAGGATGTGGGCTCGCACAACACCTAGAGAGAAGGAAACCTGTGTGAAGGGGAACTGCCCCAGCCTCCAGCCTTCCAGGAGACCAGGCTCACCTCACAGTGATAACATTCCACGTGGTAGTCTCTATCCATGGACACCACACGGATAGTTGTCTCACAACCCTGGAGGAAGAGATGGGGTTCACACACAATAAGCAAGCTGGGGTTCAAGGTGAATTGTGCATGGGGGCACATGCCTACACCATGTGCTTTGTCATGGTAGACGTGCATTCGTGCCTGTGTGACAATGACTCAGGGCAAGAATGGGCATCGGTAGGTGCACATGAATGGATGTGCATGTGCCAAAAGCATGCACACGTGTCCATGAGAGCCATCACGTGGGTGTGAACGTGCAGGTACATATTCTTTTCAGTTCTTTGGAGTCAGAAGACCACTGCCAGTCCTGCTTCCCCAGCTTGGGACAGAACCAGCATATGTGGGAGACCCAATGCCTGGGAGAGCTGCACTACCCAAGGGTGTCTCCTGCACAGGCTGCCCCATCTCATCTCATCTGCTCCCCCGCCACCTCTACCTGCAGAGGTAAGAGACCCAGGGAACAGTCCTTCCTTCATCTATGGGCAATGGAGCTGAACTCGGCCAAGCAGCAGGGGCCACCGTTTCCCTCTAACTCACGCAGGGACACTGCACTCCGCACAATGGGCACATACCCATCCCTCGGCCCTGAGGGGCATGGGCAGGAGCATCTGCTCATCCCTCCCACAGGGGCCCAAGAGCTGGGGCGGACGCGGGTGGGACCTGCCCCTGCTGGGCCAGGCACCTGATCACCTCCTGGTGGGTAGTTCTTACCTGTGCAGGGAGAATAGGACGAGCACAGGAGGCGCATTTTGGTGCAAAAGCCCTGGAAAATAAAGGAAACCAGAGTGACCCGCTGAGTGACCACAGGCCAAGGGCACAGGGCAGGCCTGCCCACAGCAGCCCCATGACCTTGCCCACGTGTCAGTCCCAGGCCCTTATGTGGACACATAGGGTGGGAGCAGCTTCTGCCATGCCTTCTTGGCAATGGCCTTTTATCTGACTCCCCAATACCCCTCCGTTCCATCACCTCCTCCAGGATGGGTTCAGGTTCCACTCAGCACTCTCTCTCATGCTTCCGCAAGATCCCTGCCCCCTAACTTCCAGGTATGGGCTGCCCTCTAGCTGAGATGCCTGCAAAAAAGCTGGCTCCACGCTGAGGAACAGGACCTATGCCAGGTACCAACCCCAGGCATGGCAGCAACACAGGACCACAGCTCCGAGGGCTGAGCCTGGAGTCACAGCAAGGGAGAATGGATTGGCTGCTCGCATGAGTACCCAACAGGAAGGAAAAAGAATGTGTGGAGATCCCAACCTCCATCTCATATAAAAGAGGCCTGGCCTGGGGACAGACAGATAGAAGCCAGGTGTGGCCGTGAGAATCCTCAGCACTAGGAAAAAGGGAGCATGCAGGCACAGGTGGGGAGAGGAAAGACATGGCTGGTGGCTGAACCATTAAGAAATCTGGCAGAGCCGAAACCAGTTTGGCTCAGTGGAGAGCGTCGGCCTACGGACTGAAAGGTCCCAGGTTCGATTCCGGTCAAGGGCATGTACCTTGGTTGCGGGCACATCCCCATTGGGGGATGTGCAGGAGGCAGCTGATCGATGTTTCTGGCTCTCTCTCTCTCTCCCTTCCTCTCTGTAAAAAATCAATAAAATATATTTTAAAAAAAAAAAGAAAAAAGAAATCTGGCAGAGATCTGTACCCTGACCCAACCAGTAAGCACACACAGGGAGGCTGGAAGTGAAAAGGTCATGAAGGAAGAACAAGCCCTAGCCGGGTGCTCAGTGGTTAGAGCATCAACCCTCAGACTGAAGGGTCGCAGGTTTGATTCCAGTCAAGGGCAGGTATCTCGGTTGCAGGCTCAATCCTCGGCCCTGGTAGGGGCATGTGCGAGAGGTAACCAATCGATCTCTCTCTCTCTCTCTCTCTCTCCCTCCCTCCGTCCCTTCCACTCTCTCTAAAAAAAATCAACGGAAAAATATCCTCGATTAACAAAACAAACAACAAAAAGGAATGGAGAACACAGACAGGCGGGCCAGGAAGATGTTTCCAGGGAAGGAAACACGGGAATCACACCTGCCCCGCACGCCGGCTACTCACGTATGATAGTCTCTGACGCAGTAGATGTTGTTCTCCACGTCCACAGTGAAGGGCACCCCGTCCAGGCACTCACCACACACAGAGCACCGGAAGCAGCCTGGGTGATAGGACTTCCCAAGGGCCTGGAGGATCTGGGGGTGGGAGGCACTGAGGGGTCAGTGCAGGTGGAAGGCTCAGCACAGCCCCCGGAATAGGCTCTGGCTCTGAGCCCCTGGCAGGTCTGCAACAGGTGAAAAGGGCGGGGTCCTAAGTTTGCCCAAGACAGAGGAGCTCCAGGGGCTGGGGGAGGTTCTCACCATGTCCATGATGAGGTGTCCACACACGCTACACTTGTCAGCTGTTTGCTGGAACCCGGAGTACTATCAGGGGACACAGGACCCAGGAGGTTACGAGACAAAGGGGCACTCTGCCCAGCCAGCACCTGCCTCCTGGCCTCAGGTCTCCATGGGAATCAGGAGGGTCCCTGCCCTGCTCCAACCAGGGACCGGCCAGTGCACAGCTTTGACTCACCAGGAAGTCCTCCTGGCAGTACACTTTCTCGCCCACATTGTAGAACGCCTTCCCACGAAGCCGTCTCCCTGCAAGGACGAGGGTGGAGAAAGGGGTCCCTGGGCCGATGGAAATCAGGGATGGGGTCCCTGCTGCCATTTCTCAGCACCCTCCTCCAACAGACAAGAAGCGGATTGTGGACAAACTTTAAGTTTTCCCTTTAATGTGATGTTGTTATCATTATACTAATTAAGCTTATTTTTCTATTACAGTTGGCATGCATTATATCAGCTTCAGCACAGTGATTAGACATTTATATAACTTACAGAGCGATCACCCCAATAAGTCTAACACCCTCTGACACCTACACAGTTATTACAGCATCACTGACTATATTCCCTGTGCTGTGCTTTACCTCGTGATTATTTTATAACCACCAATACCACTTAATTCTTTCACCTTTCACCCAGCCCCCCAAACTCCCATCTGGCAACCATCAGTCTGTTCTCTGTGTCTAGGACTGTTTGTTTTGTTTGTTGATTTATTTATTTGTAATATTCCACATGTAGGTGAAATCATACGATATTTGTCTTTCTCTGTCAAATTGATTTCACTTGGCATAATACCCTCTAGATCCTCCCATGTTGTTGCAAATGGTAAGACTTCATTCTTTCTATGGTTGAGTAATATTTCATTATATATTATATGCACCACAGCTTATTTATCCACTTGTTTATTGACGGGCACGTTGGCTGCTTCCGTATCTTGGCTGTAAATAATGTTGTAATGAACACAGGGAAGCATTTATCTTTCCGAATTCGTGTTTTTGGATTTCTCTGGATAAAGAACCACAAGTGGAATTGCTAGGTCATATGGTCGTTTTCCTGTTTCACTGTTTTCCCCACAGTGGCTGCACCAATTTAGAATCCCAACAGAGCACAAGGGTTCCCCTCCTCCACATCCTCTCCAACACTTGTTGTTTGTTGATTTATTGATGACAGCCTTTCTGACAGGTGATCGCTCACTGTGGTTTCAACTGGCATTTCCCTGATGATTAGTGCCGTTGAGCATTTTTTCATATAGTAATTAATATTTTTTAGGACACAAAGTTTTATTTTTTTTGGGGGGGGGAAGGGACACCACACTTCTACTCAATTAGGAGAAACCTTTTTATCAGTACACAGGTCTTTTTTTATATATACTCATCATGCCATGAATTCACAGGGAAGGGTTCCAGCAGCTCAGCTCCTTTCCATCGGTTCTCACTGTGCTCTGGGTGGAGCAGGCTGGCGCTTCAGGTGAACCAGGTACCTTTCGCTCTGGCTTCCTTCTTTTTCTGATCACTTTCCCTCACACATTTCAGGAAGCTATCACGGATCTTGGAGAGCTTTATATGCTCAATACGTACATTCTCTTGGCAAGAATTTTGCCTTTAACTTGTTTGTTCGCAAAAATGCCCACTGAGCCCTAACCGGTTTGGCTCAGTGGATAGAGCGTCGGCCTGCAGACTGAAAGGTCCCAGGTTCGATTCCGGTAAGGGCATGTACCTTGGTTGCGGGCACATCCCCAGTAGGAGGTGTGCAGGAGGCAGCTGATCGATGTTTCTCTCTCATCAATTCTAACTCTCTATCCCTCTCCCTTCCTCTCTGTAAAAAATCAATAAAATATATATTTTTTTTAAAAAATGCCCACTGCATGCTGGGTGACATTGCAGACTCTTCCAGTTTTGCTATGGTAACATTTGTGGGCATTCCTTTTTGAACAGGGCCGATTCCCTTGATGTCCACAATATCACCTTCTTGTAGGTGCACATGTAGGTGGTCAAAGGAACAACTCCATGTTTCCTAAAAGGCCTAGAGAACCTATAGGGGTGCCTCTCCTCTTTCCTTTGTGTTAGTCATTTTAGTGAATTATTGGGAGATGGCAGTTCTGACCGAAAAGCTAATTAATATTTTTTTAATTAAATAGAACATGTCAACATAACTATTGTAAGAGGTTGTCAAAGTAAATAGTGGAAGAACTTGTTTCAAATGTAAACTGATCTTCTAATTTTTTTTTAATCACATTCATTTCAGTTAAACTGAGAACACTTTTCAGAATGACTTTCCTTCTTTCATGAACATCACAAGTACAACTCTCACCAGGTGAAGTAGCCTAATATGAAAGAGGCGTCCTTGTCAAAAGAGCCCCAGCAGCTATGAGAGGCACCCCCATGAGACGGGAGACAGCCCAGGCCTAACTGGGGACAAGAGGGCTCCTCCGGCACCAGGACAGCACCCGTGAAAGCGCACAGCCGACGGCAGACATGAGGTAATACAGTAAACGCACTAGCCCTCCACGGTGCAGTAAGACATGTAAATAAACTTAAAAATTGGGTAGAAAAAGTAAGGCTATTTTTAAACACAGATGATATTATGTTATGTAGAAATTCATAAGGAATCTACAAAAAAAAATCTCCCTAGAACTAATATGTGAGTTTATCAAGGTTGTAGGATAGTTGGTCAGCATGTGAAAACCAAATATATTTTTATATTCTAGCAACAAATGATTGGAAATGAACATAATTTTTAAAATTGCACTTATAACAGTATCCAAAAAAATCCATAAATACTAAGGGACAAATTTAATGAAGACATGTCTGGCCTTACTCTGAAGAACTAAACTTTGTTGAGAGGAGTTGTAAAAGACCTACATAAACGGGGGGTGCCACTGCTGGAAGGCGGCGCTCCACTGGACGGCTCGCATTGCTGCACATCCTACAAACAGAGCTTCAGATTTCATTCTGGATCACCTTTTCCTGCTTTTTTGTTTTCTGTTAATCCTCACCTGAGGATATTTTCCCCATTGATTTTCAGAGCGCATGGAAGGGCCCTAACTGGTTTGGCTCAGTGAATAGAGTGTAGGTCTGTGGACTGAAAGGTCCCTGGTTCAATTCCCAGTCAAGGGCACATGCCTGGTTGCAGGCTCGATCCCCAGTAGGGGGTGTGCAGGAGGCAGCCAATCAATGATTCTTTCTCATTATTGATGTTTCTATCTCTCCCTTCCTCTCTGAAATCAATTAAAAAAAAATTTTTTAATATATTTTATTGATTTTTTACAGAGATGAAGGGAGAGGGATAGAGAGTTAGAAACATCGATGAGAGAGAAACATCAATCAGCTGCCTCCAGCACACCCCCTACTGGGGATGTGCCCGCAACCAAGGTACATGCCCTTGACTGGAATCGAACCTGGGACCCTTCAGTCCGCAGGCCGACACTCTAGCCACTGAGCCAAACCAGTTAAGGCTAAAAAAATTTTTAATGACACAAAAATATACACAGCAAACAACCCCAGTATAATAAACAGAGTGTGGAAAAAATAAGAAATAAATAAACAGTGTGTGGAAGGGAAGAATAGAGGGAAGGAGGGAGGGAGGCAGGGAGGGAGGCAGGCAGGCAGGCGGACACATCAACTGGTTGCCTCCTGAACATACACCAACCAAGGCTGGGGATCGAACCTGCAACCCAGGTACGTGCCCTTGACCAGGAATGGAACCCGAGACCCTTCGGTGTGAGGGCCACCGCTCTAACCATGTAGCAACATCAGCCAGGGCAGGGATTATCTTTCCAAGGACATCTGTGGAGCAAACTGTTTAGAAGACAGAGGTAGCATCTCCCTCTGAAGCAGAGGGCAGGTTTGTTCGCTGTCCAGAGTAATAAAGATGCGTTCCTCCAGGACAAGGGTCAGATAGCTTTGCTGGCAGCCCATTATAAAATACTGGGGTTCCCTAAGCCAGGGTTCCTCGGACCTGACTCAGACCCACTGCATGTGAGCATCCATCGCGGCCACTCCATGTGACCCGTGGGGCTCAGGAGGGCAAACACAATGTGAATGTTAGTGACGTGCATGCAGCTTGCGGTGCTGCGAGTCTGCCCAGCAGCTCATGTCTTCAGGCAGCATCGTGAACCGGTGGCAGGCTGACTGGTCAGCTTGCAAGTAGGAAAAAATCTCACTCAGACCCTGCACAGCTCCTGACAACCATCTTTATGGCTTCAGATGTTGACATCAGCTCTCCCCAAATTGATCTATACATTCAAATGCTTTTCTTTTAAGAACAGCTAAAATTTATTTAAAACCAGTAAAATACATATTAAGACAAAACCTCAAGAAACAAAAGCTTAGAATTTATACAAAAAATAAACACTAGCCCTAACCGGTTTGGCTCAGTGGATAAAGCGTCGGCCTGCGGACTGAAGGGTCCCAGGTTCGATTCTGGTCAAGGGCATGTACCTTGGTTGCGGGCACATTCCCAGTAGGGGGCGTGCAGGAGGCAGCTGATCGATGTTTCTCTCTCATCGATGTTTCTAGCTCTCTATCCCTCTCCCTTCCTCTCTGTAAAAAATCAATAAAATATATTTTAAAAAATAACAATAAAAAAAATAAACACTAGTTTGATAAAATATAGAAAAATTATTATGCAACTTAGGATTTGAAATCCTTTAACTGAAAATGGATTATGCGCCTTTTGTTTCTCGATTTTGCCCAAACAAAATGCCAGCCCTCGTGTGTGTGTGGAACCTGACCGGCCAATTTTGAAATTTATATAAAAGTATAAAGAACAGCGAATAGCCAAAATAATCTTGAAAAAAAGACTGACAAAGCAGGAAGACTTATTCTACTTCCTATTTTAAGACTTACAGTAATCAAAGGCAGTGTCATAATATTGGGATGAGGAGACAAAAAAATCAGTGGAACAGAACAAAGTCCAAAAATAGACCCAGAAATATTTCAACAAACACACAAGTGGGAAAACAAAGTCTTTTCAGCACATAGTACTGCAACAACTGAATATCCATGTGGGGAAAGAACAACATTCAATTTCATAACTTCACAACATACACAAAATTAGTATGAAGTGAGTTATCACTCTAAACATAGAAATGGGAAATCTAAAGCTTCCAGAACACTGGAGACTATCTTTATGACTCAAAGGAAGACCAAAAAAACAGGTACAAAGAATAGTAACTATAAAACAAAACAAAAAAAACCTGACGCATTGGATTTCATCAAAATGTGAAATTTATCAAAAAATATATCATGCCCTGGCTGGTTTGGCTCAGTGGATGGAGCGTCGGCCTGCGGACTGAAAGGTCCCAGGTTCGATTCCGGCCAAGGGCCTGTGCCTTGGTTGCGGGCACATCCCCAGTAGGAGATGTGCAGGAGGCAGCTGATCGATGTTTCTCTCATCGATGTTTCTAACTCTCTATTCCTCTCCCTTCCTCTCTGTAAAAAATCAATAAAATATATTAAAAATATATATATATATCATTAAAAATATTTTTAAAAATCATATTAGGAAAAAATATTCACAAAACATACATGTGAAAAGAACTTGTACTCAGAAGATACATATTTTTTTCCTACAACTAAATAATAAAGACAAATAACCCCCAATTTAAAAATGGAACAAAACACTTGAACAGACTTCACCAATGATGATATAAATCAGTGGTTCTCAACCTTCTGGCCCTTTAAAAACAGTTCCTCATGTTGTGACCCAACCATAAAATGATTTTCGTTGCTCCTTCATAACGGTAATGTTGCTACTGTTATGAATTGTAATGTAAATATCTGATATGCAGGATGGTCTTAGGCAACCCCTGTGAAAGGGTCGTTCGACCGCCAAAGGGGTCGCGACCCACAGGTTGAGAACCGCTGATATAAATGGTCAAGCAGCAGACAAAAAGATACTCAACCTCATTGGTCCTCTGTGAAATGCAAATTAAAAACCACAATGAGATACCTCTCCACACCTATTAGACTGGCTCAAATCAGCCCACCAGTGTGGTTCACTGGTTGAGCATCGACCTATGAACCAGGAGGTCATGGTTCAATTTGCGGTCAGGGAATATGCCCGGGTTGTGGGCTTGATCCCCAGTAGGGGGCGTGCAGGAGGCAGCCGATCAATGATGCTCTCTCATCAGTGATGTTTCTATCTCTCTCTCCCTCTCAGAAATCAATAAAAATATTGTTTTTAAAAGACTGGCTTAAATTTAAAAGACTAAAATACCAATTGTTGTCAAATATGTAGAACAGCCCAACTCTCTTATATTTCTAGTAGGGGTATAAAATGGCGCAAGCCCTTTAGAAAACAGTTTGGCAGTTTCTTATGAAGTTAAACATACACTTAGCCTATGACCCAGAAATTCCAGTTCTTGGAATTTACCCAAGAGAAATGAAAACATTTGTCCACAAATGACCTGTACAAGAATGTTCACAGCACAATCTGGTGTCTACCCACACTTAAATGGATAAACAAACTGTGGTATATTCATACAACAGACTCCTACTCAGCAATAAGAAGGAGTGAGTTACAACTCCTTTACTCCATGTAACATGGGCAACAACAACAACAGACACGGTTACAAAAAAATCAAAACAGTGCATACGACGACTGCATTTACATGAAGTTCTAGGGCAGATGAAACTGATCTATGGCGTAGAAATCAGGACGCTGGTTAGGTGGATACGATGGGAAAGCACACGGTGAAACTACAGAAGTACAAGATAGAAGTTTCTAGGGTGTTGAAGATGTTCGCTATCTTTGTTAGGGGTGTGAGTCACATAAATATATACACTTGTCCAAAATCTTTTCCTACAGCTCTGCAGCACCGTCCCTCCCACCGAGGGGTGGCAGGTTCAGTCCCTGTCTGGGCACGTGCAGGGGCTAACCCATCGATGTTTCTCTCACACTGATGTTTCCTTTTATTTTAAAAAAAAATGTTTTTATTGATTTAGAAAGAGAGGAAGAGAGAGGGAGAGAGAAACATCGATCCGCTGCCTCCTGCATACCCGCTACTGGGTATCGAGCCCACAACCAGGGTATCAAACCAGTAACTGCTTGGTGCATGGGACAACACCCAAACAACTGAGCCTGCCCAACCCCCTCTCTCTAAAATCAATTTTTTTAATCTTTTTTTACTGTATACTTAAGATCTGTTTGCTGTACTGTATGTAAATTGTACTCAATTAAAAACAAAGATAAACCTAGAACATCTGTGCTTGAGTAGAAGTGCTCAAAGAATGATGGGGATATGTCAAAGGGCACAGGGGCCAACTGGAAAGGACTTAGTCTGGCCAAGTCTGAAACAATTCGTGCATCAAAAAGAATAATGACTGGCCCTGGCCAGTGTGGCTCAGTTGGTTGGGCATCATCTGTGCATTGAAAGGTTGCCAGTTCAATTTCTGGTCAGGACACATGTCTGGTTTTGGGCTCAATCCTCAGTAGGGGGTTGCAGAAGGCAGCTAATCAATGTTTCCCTCTGACATAGATGTTTCCTTCTCCCTCTCCCTTCCTCTCTCTCTAAAAATCAATTTTAAAAATCTTTTTTAAGCCCGGCTGGCGTGGCTCAGCGGTTGACGTCCACCTACGAGCCAGGCAGTCACGGTTCAATTCCCCGTAAGGGCACATGCCCTGGTTTTGGGCTTGGCCCCCTAGTAGGGGTCATGCAGGAGGCAGCCGGTCAATGATTCTCTCTCATCATTGATGTTTCTCTCTCTCTCTCCTTCTCCTTTCCTCCTTGAAATCAATAAAAATATATTTTTTAAAAAATCTTTTTAAAAAATGTCTGTATTGCCATACATTGCATGAATAAAAGCCCATGAGTATGTAAGAATACTCACGAAAGAATAAAATACACTTTCCCCCATCTAAATTTAAAATTTTTCCTTAATAGAGAGGTTTCAGACATTCCCTAGGGAAATGCAACTTCAACACAGACCTCAACAAATTCCCACAGGCATATTCCACAATCAAAAATTATAAAACACATGAGAAAACAAGGTCTCATGACCGAGAGTGAGGAGAAACAGTAAACAGTAGAAATAGGACTTCAAAAGACATCAGGTATTGGGACTATTAGATTCAGAATACAGAATAGGTATGTTTAATATGCTCACAAAATAAAAACAGATGTCTAAAACATGAGACTACAAAGATTTCTCAGGGAGGGCATTAAAAGCAGTAACTATAAACAAAGAATAATTGGATTTTATTAAGAATTTCTTTTCATCAGAAGACTTCATTTAGAAAGTAATGAAGCAAGAATAGGTTAGGGAAAGAATTTATAATACATATATCCAACAAAGATCTTTTATCCAGGACATTTAAAGAACTCCTACAGCCCTAACCGGTTTGGCTCAGTGGATAGAGCGTCAGCCTGTGGACTCAAGGGTCCCAGGTTCGATTCCGGTCAAGGGCATGTACCTTGGTTGTGGGCACATCCCCAGTAGGGTGTGTGCAGGAGGCAGCTGATTGATGTTTCTCTCTCATCAATGTTTCTAATTCTCTATCCTTCTCCCTTCCTCTCTGTAAAAAATCAGTAAAATATATTAAAAAAAAAAAAAAAAGAACTCCTACAATAATGGAAAGGGAAGTGTTTGTCTGCTATGGTAAAAACAGCTTCTCAGAATGATGTGATGTAACACTGTGCCTATATTATACTTTAATAAAATATTAAAATGTTTCGTGTAAATAAATGAAAGATGTCTGCTTCTGGGCAAAGCTTAAAAGGACTGTAGAATATCAAGAGTGCAGATTTATTATGCTGCTTGGGTTATAGTTACTTTTCTCTTTTTATAACTTTCTCTAGATTAAATTACATTTATAGTTTATACTGTGTGCAAAATTCAGATAAAAAAGCAATTGCATGGAAAAGAAATATTAGCCCTGTATAATGGCAGAAGGCATGGTGTCCAGGCAGCCAGGAGACTTCAGTACCCTACAGAGGATGAAGGCTCCAACGCCCAGGGCCAGAGGGGCAGCCTTTCCCTGTGGCTAGCAAATGGCTCCTCTCTGACCCCACACCTCTCTCCAGGGGGCCAGCAGACCTTCCCAGGGCTTAAGCCTCTCAAGCAGGCCAGGCCCAGAGAGAAAGGGGCCATAACTCAGCCTCCTCCACACTTCAGCCTGGGTCAGAGCTGGTGGTCCATCTGCCTGGGATTTAGGTGCAAAGCAGTCCATGGTGCAAGAAGGGCCAGAAAGAGGTTACCTACCACAGGAGTCACAGATGAAGCAATCGGTGTGATACAGGCTCCCCATTGCCTGGCACGCTTGTCTTGCTCCGTAGATCCCAAGCCCACATTTGATGCAAATGCCTACGGGAGAAGAGGCAGAAAAGAGCAGTGGTTAGCGCCACGACCATGGTGTTAGATAAACATGCATCCAATTCCCAGTCCTAGTGCTGCCCACCCACCTGATCTTGGGCAAGTGAACTTCTCTAGACCTCCATCACACAGTTGCTAACGGCTCACATGGGGCAGTTAGGGTCCCACTGATTAGGGTTTGTTGCTGTTGTTGTTTAGCAGAGCACCTGGCACAGAGCCATCCTCGCCATCAAAATCATCATGACCTCTGCATACCTACAAGGTCATTCTGAACCCATTCCCCATGAGCTGCTCTTGGACATGGGGAAAATCCTTTCTTCAGTCTATGAACCAAAAAGAATGAAGACCACACGGCACACCCAGGGCAGAGTCGCTGACCCTCCCAGCCACAGTGTCCTCATCGGTACCGTAAAGTTCACTCATTCTCTTGTTCAGTCAGCACATCAACAGCAATGCCTGCCACATGCCCTGCACACTGAGATGCCAGAGATTCTGCAATGCACCAATCAAGTCCCCACCCTCAAGGAGCCTGTATTCCAGTGGAGGAAGACAGACAACACATAAATAATACCTTAGGAGGAAGCAGCAAGTGCTATGGAAAAAAAATACTGATTAAAAATATGTCTGAGTGTGTGATTTTTAAGTAGGGCAGTCAGAAAAGGCTCTGATGCCCTGGTCAGTTTGCTCAGTGGTTAGATTGTCAGCCCTTAGACCGAAGGGTACAGATTCGATTCCCGGTAAAGGGCACATACCTGGGTTGCAGGTTTGATCTCTGCCCGGCTTAGAGAGTGTGCAGGAGGCAACCAATCAATGTGTCTCTCTCACACTGATGTTCCTCTTTGTTTCCTCCTTCCTGTCCACTCTCTCTAAAAAGTAATGGAAAAAATATCCTCGGGTATCCTCAGGTGAGGATTAAAATAAAATAAAATAAAATAAAATAAAATAAAATAAAATAAAATAAAATAAAATAAAATAAAATAAAATAAAATAAAGGCTCTGGTGATAAGGTGATACCTGAGTAGCATCTGGGACTACCAGGTGGAATCAGAGACCAGCCCTGGCAACACAGAGCAGGATATCCAGCAGTCAGGAGATGGGTGGTAAAGGGAAGGGTAACCAGCAATGCCAGGGCAAAGCCTGGCACTAGCCCCTAAGGGACTCCCTGACTGGCCCTCCTGGAGACCCAGACCATATGTGGCCAGCCCACACATCAGAAGTCCCCTTCTGCCCTAGCCCAGTGGTCGGCAAACTGCGGCTTGTGAGCCACATGCGGCTCTTTGGCCCCTTGAGTGTGGCTCTTCCCCAAAATACCACGTGCGGGCGCACATGTACAGTGTGTGGCCCATGTGCAGAAGTCGGTATTCTGTGGAAGAGCCACACTCAAGGGGCCAAAGAGCCGCATGTGGCTCGCAAGCCGCAATTTGCCGACCACTGCCCTAGCCGGTTTGGCTCAGTGGATGGAGCATCAGCCTGCGGACTAAAGGGTTCCGAGTTCGGTTCCAATCAAGGGCACGTGCCTGTGCTGTGGGCTCGATCCCCAGTAGGGGGTGTGCAGGAGGCAGCCGATCGATGATTCGCTCTCATTATTAATGTTTCTATCTCTCTTTCCCTCTCCCTTCCTCTCTGAAATCAATAAAAACATATTAAAAAAAAAAAAGAAGTCCCCTTCTCAGAGTTACCCAGGGAGTCCCAGGCCCCAAAGGGCCTGAAGACAGGCTCTGCCCTCTGGACCAGAAGTCTTCTGGCTGCTCTAGGACATACTGCCCTCACCCTCTCCCTCCTACTCTCTACCAGACCTCTCTCTTTAACATTTACCCATGGTCAAGCCTCTTCCATCTTAAAAACCCCCTCCTCCCCATCAGCCATCCCATTTCCCCCTCCCATCAGTCAAGAAAGAAAGCAAGCTTAGTCCACACTCAGTCATCTCCTAACTGTGCAAATCCATGACTTCCTGTCCAGATAATACCAGGAGACCTCTCCCCATTGGTTTCCAGGACATGACCTGCACCTGTCTTTCTGGTTCCTCTCCCTTCCTGTTCTGTCTTGGGTCACCCATGACTGCTCTCTCAAACCCAATCAGGAATGTAAAGGTGGCTGGTGGAGGCTGGTGAACGGAGAAGAGAGCCATGGCCGCCAGAAGTCGCAGCCATGCCTTGGATCTGCTAACAGTTACTGGGTGGGAATGCAGGCCCTGCATTGCTAAAGATTCTAATTTTTCAAGAAAAGTCAGGTATATAGATTTGTATGTAAAATCTTTCCATAGTGAAATTAATTACTAACTTAAATGTTTTGAAAAATGCAGAAGCCAAGCACACCATATCTGCAGGTCTCTCTGGGCAGTCCCAGCCCCTCTCCACGCCTCCTGCAGAGGGCTCTGCGCCAGCCAGGAGCTCTCTCCTGTCACTGCTCCACCTCCCAGATGGCCCCCACACCACTCCAGGTCCAGAGCAAAGGTCCAGGGTCCCCACAAAACTGCCCTTGCCCTGGCCGGTTTGGCTCAGTGTATAGAGCATTGGCCTGTGGACCAAAGGGTCACGGGTTCGATTCCAATCAAGGACACATACGTCAGCTGCAGGTTCCCCAGCCCCGTTAGGGGTGCATGTGGGAAGCAAGCGATCCATGTGTCTCTCTCACTTCAATGTTTTGCTCTCCCTCACACACCCTCCTCCCTCTCTTCCATTCTCTCTAGAAATCAATGGAAAAAATATCCTCAGTTAAGGATTAAAAAGTAATAATAATAAAACTGCTTCTGCCTCTGGGTTCCTGCTCAGGAAATGGCACTTTGGGGTAGCCAGGTTTCAGGGAGCACCCAGGAATGCCCCTCTCTCACACCTCCAATTTGGGCTCCTCTGTTCCCTAATCTTGACTTCATTCCCTACCCTCACTCCCACTAGCCTGATTCACCATCATCAATTCTCATCCCAATGGTTATTTCAGCCTCCTCATGGTGTCCCAGCCTGGCCTCCAAAACACATCCCAAAAATTGCAGACAGACTTTCTTTCTAAAATGAAAATGATCCACTCTCACACCTTCACTCCTGTCCATGTACTTTGAAAGTCCGACCTTGTCACTCCTCTAAGTTACTGGACTATGTGAAGAAACAGAAGCCAGCTGCCTGTGGACACAGGACAGAGGATGCGCTATGACCTCGCATCATTAGGTCTTGGGTTCTGTTTGATGTTTTCTTAAGTATGTGCCTGCGTCACTTTAATAAAAATACTCTGAAGGAGGAGAACCAAAGCATGAGGTACCTCAGAAATTCAAGGAACAGAACATGTCAAGGGGAGTCAACTCCACCTGTGGGTGCAGCAGTGCGGTCCAGACCAACAAGGCCTGGCAAACACCCACTGGGGCTGGGGAGTCAGCTGGGTCAGCCCAGTGAGGGGATATCAGAGGCGGAGAAGCGAAGACAATGCCAAGCAGACACTCGGATGAGAGGACGAAAGGGCCAGCCGGACGTTGTGGCCATGCAGCTTTGGGGTTTTTGTTTTTAGTGAAAGATCCTTGTCCATATTTACAGCCAAAAGAAAAGGGCCAGTGGACAAAGGAGAGCTGAAGGTGGAGTTGGGGTGAAAGGACCCTGTCCTCAGATCTGGATGTGTACTCAAGAGCCTGTGGAGAGAGGAACAGGAAGCATTGGGGAAGCAAGCTGCTGACCTCCATTTTCTCAGCAAAGTAGAAAAGGCAGGGCTGGAGGAGAGAGGAAGGTTTCTGAGGGAATAAAAGTGGGGACTGACCAAGGCTTAGGGAGATGGATGGCGCGAAGACCAGACCATCACTCTGTCCCCCGGCAATGCAGCAGGGCAGACAGCGATTAGAGGGATCAAAGTCACCAGTGAGATGCAGGCCACAGTCAGAACTGAAGACCGCAGAGGGCGGCAAAAACAGGGTGTGGCTCTGGGAGTGGGTGGCTGAGGAGAAGGCAGAGAGGTCATCTAACTTAAAGAGGTTCCGGAAGGTCCGGCCTCTGTGGTTCAGTGGTTGAGCCTCGATCCAGGAACCAAAAGGTCAACAGTCGACTCTGGTCAGAGCACATGCCTGGGTTGTGGGGGGCGTGCAGGAAGGAGCTGATCGATGTTGATGTTTCTCTCTCATCGATGTTTCTATCCCTCTCCCTTCCTCTCTCTCTAAAAATCAATAAAAACGTATTTTGTAAAAAAAAAAAGAGAGAGGCTCCAGAAGCCTGAGGCTGGTGACTGGCTAATGGCAATGGAACTTGTTGAGATGGGAAAGTTCCAAAGACATCAATGAATGGCAGAGGGATCAGGAGGTCAGCTGGTACCAGGGCCAAGGAGAGGAAGGAATGGCACAGCAAGGGGAAACACACCCTGAGGATGAGGTTCATCAGACACCACTTGAGCTGGGCTCCCTGCAGACTTCCCTGTATAAAAACTTTGTATTATTCAGGTTGAATAACATAAAATTGCCACTTTTATAGTTCTAAAATATCAAATATTAGCAGATAAATTTCAGCAGTTCAAGCAAATAGATGCCCTTTTTTTTCATCCTCAACAGAGAATGTTTTTAATTAATATTTTAGAGAGAGAGGAAGGGAGCAAGAGAGAGAAACATCAATGTGAGAGAGAAACATCGATCAGTTGCCTCCTGAACGTGCCACGACTGGGGATCAACCCAAAACCTAGGTATGTGCCCTGACCAGGAATTGAACCCAAAACCTTTTAGTGCACAGGACGATGGTCCAACCTAAACTGGCTTCTCTTGAAAAATAAAGATCTATCATCACTCACCTTCCCCTTCCACGTGGCTTCAATGGGCCAGGACTGAGTGGCAGCTCCCTTTAGAAAGGATGACCCAATATCCCCTATGCCTATGGTCTTGTGCCTTGGGCCCCTTTTGGTCTCACATTATCTGCCTGGGTCTAGCCACCTCAGCTTCACACAAGGACTCATGAGTAGCTGCGGAGGCCCACAGAACACACCTGCTAGTTTCTGCAATGGGCAGGGACAGGAAAGTGAAGAGCCTTTTGCAACAAAGCAATGGAAAGTCTTTCTCTTTAGAAGACAGCCCCTGCTTTTGCTCCTGGCACCTGCCAGGCAGGAGAGGCAACAGCTTCTACCTCATCTCCCTGATGCCAGGCCATGCCACAACAGCCACACCAGAAATTCTCACCTACTGTTCCCAGATGAGCCTGAAACCCTTCCACATTTGCCCTCCCAAAGGCAGGCCACACACTCCCTTGATCACTCGACCCCTCCCTCCTGGGCTGCAACCCTGGGGAGTGTAGTGGAACAATCCACATCCTTACTCGCCTTGCCTCCTCTTGGCCATTCTTCCCTCTGCCTGAAATGCCCCCATGTGACCTATCACATAGAGCTTCCTCCTCCCTCAAGACCCAGTTCAGGGCGTCCTGAGCTGCTAGCTAGAATGAATGCATGACACCCCAGGACAAGCCTCCGTCCCTGGCAGGATAACCAGCAGCCAGCAACCCCTAGAGCTGGGGGCCTCGGCTTTCCTGCTCATCAGTGAGGGAGGAAAGGAAGCCCTCCCCCGGGTCTCTTCTCCGAACCTCAAACCTAGAGTCCCAAGTACTGTCCAAAGAACTAACCGGGGTCTGTGAGGGCCTGGGTTAGACTGGGAAAGACTGGCTGACACCGGTGAGCTTTGCAAAAGCTGTCAAGGAGGATTCTCTTTGGAAACATCCAATGTACAAAGCACAGCCCAGAGAGAGGACAGCCCAGTCTGACTGGCTTGGTCCCCTCGTCCTCAAGGTGAATTCTCCCTCCCTCCCACACTCTACCTCCAACAGCGACCATCATGGGAGCCTCAGGTCAGGCGGGACCGGGTACTTGGACCCCGCCACCACCCCGCTATTGTCCACAACCTACACCGCTGGGGGCGAGGAGGAGTGCCGGGAGGGCGGGTCCCTCCACTGCTTAGGCCGACCTGGGTCACAAAGCATCGAGCAGGATGAACAGAGGCACGTGCCAAGGGTGCAGAAGAATTTCTCCGGCAATGGCTCGTTCTGCCTGTTAACATCACTTTTTCTCCGTTAGGATGAAGGCTTCCATTCACTTTCCCAGAAGCCCTTCTCCAGGTGGGAGACCAAGAGGCGAGGGCGGCGGTTCACCCGTGTGCTCCCTCTTCCCACGCGGGCCCGGCCCCGGCCACCCCGAGGCCGGCCCAGCCGCCACCCCGAGGCCATCCCGACCCGCTCACCGAAGTAGTCCCGCGCCGTGCGCGCTTCCAGCGCCCGCTCCAGCTCTCGGGTCAACGCCTCCAGCCGCCGCTCGGCCGCGCTCGGGCCGCCCTCTCGGCCCGGGGGCAGCGGGAGCGAAGGCAGAGGGAAGGGGGCCGGCCCGACAGGCTCGGGGGAGCGGGTTGGCGCGGGACCGGCGCCGGGCAGGAGCCAGTCGGCATAAGCCCCAGCAGAGCCGCGGGAGCCGAGACTGGACACACTGGAGCGGGCGCTGCCCACCGACGGCGGCCCGGGGCCCGGGCGCGGGTCCGAGCGGCCGGAGCGCGGACTGCCGTGGCGCTGGTCGTAGCCCAGGCTGATGCCGCTGGAACGGGCGCTCCCGCCGCCGCCGTCGGAGCCCGCCAGGCTGACCCGTGGGCTGCCCGCAGGCTGCGCGCTCAGCTCGGGGGCCGCCGCGCGCCGCGGGCCTCGTTCCCCGCGGCTCAGTCCGTCCGTCCCGGCCTCGGGGACGCCGGCGCCGCCCTTCCCTCGGCGGCCCAGCGCCAGCGCCGCCTCGTCTCCGGGCCCGGGCCGCGGCCCCCGCCGCCCCCGACCCGGAGAGTCGCCGCCTGGCTGCAGCTCCCGCAGGTCCAGCCCGGCCAGGAGCAGCGCCGCCTCGTCCGCGGCCGCCCCGGAGCGCTGCATGGCCCGGCCCGCCGGCCCTCGCGCGTCACCTCCGCCTCGGCTTCCCGCCGCCGCTCCGGCCGCGCCGCCGCATCGTCCGCCGGTACCCGGAGCCCGCCCCGGGACCCCTGGGCGCGGGGCGGGGCAGGCGCGGGGCCGGGTCGCTCGGCCAGCCACGCGCGGCCCGGGTCGGCGGCGCTCCGCTCAGTGGCGCGCGAGGCGGAGGAATGTGCGCTCTGCGGCGCCGGGCCGCGCCCCCTCCTCCCGCGGCCGCGCGGGGGCGGAGGGACTCCTTTGTGGGGGCAGGAATGCGAGGAAGGAGACGGCGCTGCGGCCTCTGGAATGTGGGGGAGTGGCGGCGGCGGCGGCGGCGGCGCCGGGAGCAGAGGGGCGCGCAGGCCGGACCGGACGCCGCGCCGGGCGCCCGCGAGCTGAGCGGGCCCCGAGGTGGTCCGGCGGCGAGCTGCGGCCTTCGTCGCGCGCCCAGACGGTCGAGCCTGTGGGTCCCTGCGGGCTGAGCTGGCGGCGGCTCCCGCAGTCCGGCAGGAGAAATAGGAGCAGCTGGCGGACGTTTCCCACGTTCTCCCCCATCTGACTTCCCAGCGATGCCACACTTTCAGGCTCTTGGCCTTCGGCTGAAGCTCTGCGCCCGCTCCAGGAGCCTAAGAACACTGTGCGCCTGGTGCACGTGCGCCACCAGGACCTCGCCTGACCCTACGACCCCCAGCCTGTCCCTGGGCCACGTGGTTGCTCACTGGTTTGAGGAGCCCCCACCTGCCAGGGGGGGAAAGCGCCTAATGCTAGGAGCCAGGGTTGGTTGGGAACTGGTCCGTGCGCCTGGTCCTTGTGCTCAAGCCCCCAAGGCCACGCCAGCTGAAGCAGACCTCAGGCTGAGCCAGTGGACTGATGACCGTCGGCTGTGACCACCACATGCAGTCACCAGGAGATGTGAGGACTCCCTGTTTTTCCAGCACCTGCCCTCAGGGTCTTGGGTGAGGCGCCAAGGGGATGCTCCTGAAAACACTTGCGCTGCTACAGGTCCTGAGATTAGGTGGGGCCTTGGGGGCCACATGAGGGATGGAAGAGAGGTGACCAGGGCTTTGTCCCCCCAAACAAATTACAAAGCCCTTGTCATACATTCAAACAGCTCACCGAGAAAAGCAAGCCATTATCCATCGGGACCTGATGGATCCAGGAGAACAACCTTGAGTGGATAAGGTCTCTTTTCCAGCCCCCCACCCCCGAGAATTCCAGCAAGGCACCCAGTGTCACAGGGAGATTGGACCAAGAATTGTGCTGGTACAGACTGACCAAGATGTGGGGCCTCAACATTGCCGAGGAACCCGCTGTGGCCCATTCTCCTTGGCTGGCAGTTGAGCAGCGTCTGACCCAGCACCTCTCAGACCTTGCAGAATTCCACCACACAACACCCACGCCCTAAGCTCAGAGTGAAGGGGGCAGGCACAGGTGGGGACAAGCGCTTGGGGAGCTATTATCCAGAGAAGCTACCTAATGAAAAATCATCTGAGAAAGGAAAGACAAATTAAATCAACAATGAGCTATCACATTTCACATTGTCTCCCATTTAAAAATGAAATTTTGGCAAGACTGTGGTGAAACTTGCCTGTACTTTACTGGTAGGAGATAAGTTGGTATATCCTGTCAGGAAGAGCAATTTGCTGGTATTAATATCCTCACAAATGAAAACTCTTACAAGCAGTAGTGCTCCAAGAATCTATGCTAGGGAAGTAATGCAAAATGCAGATAACAATGCAAGCAAAAAGTGTTTATCACATTGTTTAAGTAATCAATACAGTACTGGGGTCTCCGGCCTTCTGAAAAGGAGCTCAGCGGGAGCTCTCTGCCCTCAAAGGTAGTTCTTAAATAACTTCCATCTCCACATGCCCCACTTAAAGCTTCCAAGATTTAAACAATATCTTGGAGTTCAGGGTCAGCTTAAATGCATTACTCACTCTAATAGTAATAAATAAAAACAAACACCCACAATCAGAAACAGAAACAACCCAAAATAGTTTGCTTTCTCACTTCTGGCCATCTTGTTAGCTGTTCTTGTTTGGGGGCCATCCAGCACCTAAAACGGGAAAATGGTGGCCACAGAGAAGACAACAAAGACATGGGAGTCAATCAACTCTAGGCTCCAACTGGTTATGAAAAGTGGAAGTGAGTACTACTGGGTACAAGAGACTCTGAAGATGATCAGACAAGGCAAAGCAAACCTGGTCATCCTCATGACAGCTACCGGATTTGAGGAAATCTGAATAGAGTACTACCCCATGTTGGCCAAAACCATGTCCATCACTGGGATAGCAGTGATACTGACTTGGACACAGTGTGTAGAAAACACTCAAGTATGCTCACTGGCTACCAGTTACACGGGTGATTTTAGTGTTGTTAGAAGCATGACAGAACAAACTGGTAAGGAGTAAATTATACAAAATTGGCCAGAACTCATTTAAATAAATAAAATGGCCCTGGCTGGTGGCGGGTTCAATCCCCGGTCGGGGCTCATAGGGAAAGGAACAGATTGATGTATCTCTCTCACCTCTCTCTCTCTCTCTCTCTCTCTCTCTCTCTCTCTCTCTCTCTCTCTCTCTCTCCTCGTTCTCTCCCTTCCTCTCTCAAATCAATTTTTTTTAAAAAGTTTAAATATATAAATAAAATGTTCATTGTTCAACATTAAAACAAAGTACATACTTCCATGAAGTGGGAAGTACATTAAGCAAGTGTTTATAAATATATTAAAAATATTTAAGAGTGTGGGAAGTCATACCATTGTCATGCTAAATAATACAGAGTACCATTCAAAATTGTGTGGTCTCATATATACATTACCCGAATGTGTCCCAGACCCCACCTTCTTTTGTAGCCTCACTACAAAATGCTGAGTATTTGATCTCAATTTGTTAGCTCTTTCTGTCTGAGAAGAACAATTAGGGGAGAAGGAAAGATCAGGGGCTGATTCATAGGGCTTGAAGCACCATCCAAGGACTCTGCCCAGCCTGCACTGATGCCTTCCCTGTTCTCCACTGATACAGGGGTTCTCTGTGCTCACCTCTCTCTCTGGCCTTTTTCTTCCTGGGTCCAGGGATGTGCTGGATTTAACAACCAGTGCTCTGGGAAAGGTTTGTACAAATCAGGAGCCCTGATTTATAGCATTTGCCAATGCCTCCATGGTCAATTTCAAACTGCCAATATGGTATCACTGAACAGAGTTGGGAAGAAATTAGTATAATCAGCTTGGAAAACTAGTATGAGCTGGCTCCAACTACCACTGCCTGGGTCCCACTGTTGGAGAAAGGAAAGGTTCACAACGGAATTGCTGGGCCTCTAGATCTGTCATCCTCCAAATTCACCAAAACCTTCCTTTGCCAGTGGTCATCTAACGGCGGCTCGGCAAACCGCGGCTCGCGAGCCACATGCGGCTCTTTGGCCCCTTGAGTGTGGCTCTTCCACAAAATACCTACTTCTGCGCATGGGCCACGAAGTTTCAATCGCACTGTACGTGCACGCCCGCACGTAGTATTTTGTGGAAGAGCCACACTCAAGGGGCCAAAGAGCCACATGTGGCTCACGAGCTGCGGTTTGCCGACCACTAGAGATGGACACACTCAGAGGCTGGCACAGAACATGCTCAATACAGTCTCACACCAAGTCCTGAACCCACCATCTTTTCCTTCTAAGGCTCCAGGGGCTTATCCTATCCAGACTGTCCACACTAATGGTGATTTTTTAGAGGTGTTTAATCTCTCCTTGTAATCTAACTTCCATCAGACCCCCTTATCTGTCTGTAGTGTGTGTATTATCTGGACCCCAATTATGGACACAATTCAGGGGTTTTCCTACAGTCTTGGGATACATTCAGATGTCAAATGTGGCTGGATAACTTGGGTTAACTAGAGAAGTGTGGATCCCAGCACTTGCTGCATGTGGAGTTTACCGTGGAGGAAGCGGTGGGACCCACGCTTCTTTCTCTCCCTAAGCTGGCAGCAGTCTTCACCATTGCAATTTTTCCTGGGAGAGCAGCAGTAATCTTTCACCTAGAGCACACTTTGGCCCGGCTGGTAAGGCTCAGTGGTTGAGCATCAACCTATGAACCAGGAGGTCACTGTTTTCGATTCCCGGTCAGGGCACATACTGGGGTTGCGGGCTCGATCCCTAGTAGGGGGCACGCAGGAGGCAGCCAATCAATGATTCTCTCTCATCATTGATGTTTCTATCTCTCCCTCTCCCTTCCTCTCTGAAATCAATAAAAGTCTATTTTAAAATATATATAAAGCACCTCTCCTGGCTCAACTCCTAAGAGCCGGTGATCCCATACACCCACAGCCCCAGACCCAAGATACATTTCCTGCCTGATCCACTGGGAGGCCGTCCACTGGAAATTGTGCCCATCCCCTCTTTGGAGGCCCAGCTCTTTCAACAAGATTGAGGCCAACTTCCCCTGGCCCTGGTATCACCTTAGGCCCCTCTGGGGACATAGAAGTTTCAATGCATTGATAGCTGAAGCCATTGATGAGTTGGTTCCCCAATCTACGAATCAGGATGAAGATCTGACAATTACAGCTTGCTTCCTTCACCAGGAAGCAAATAGCCTTTAAAAATTTTTATTTTAGGAAGGGAAACATTGACTCATCCATGCATTATTGGTTGCTTCCTGTTTATACCCTGACAGGGTATCAAACCCACAACCTTGGTGTAGGGACGATGCTCTAACAATTGAGCTACCCTGGGGAGAGCCTGCAAGGGCCATCTTGGAAGAACTCTCACTTTCTTGTCCTGAGAGCTTACCCTACACTCAGGAATAGGAATTCTGCACAAACTTTGTATAAAGCAAAGACCCCAGAGACTTCCAAAATGGCGACCAGCAGGAAGGTAGGGAGGGAGAGAGTGTGAGAGCGCAAGGAAGTGATAGAGGAGTGTGTGGACACGTGTGGTGTGTGTGTATGAGCTAGGGACAGTTAGATTCTGCAGGTCTTCTAAGGGGCTGCTAAACCGGGCAGTCTTAGGCGGAGTCCCTCTCCCTGCGCGGACACTCCTGGGCGGCCAGCACAGGCATAGCGACCACGCCATCTTGGGAAACAGAGCTGCTTGAGACTACAATCCTGGCCTCAGCACCACCCAGTCTGATCTGACGCATACCAGGACCCTGCAGCCACTGGGGACAGAGACCTGTGGCCATAGCTACAGACCTGCGGACACCAAAAGTTCAGAAAT